AAGCGACGCGTCGGGTATGTTGAACACGTTGATTTGTGCACAAACTTTTATGGATACACCGTTATAACGGGAACATTGTTGGCAGCGCCGGTCGCGGAAACAAAACCCGCCACGGGACGACGGCGCTTCATCGGTGATTATATATTCTTTATGCGTTCAGTGTTGATCAATCTCTAAAGGTTGTAGTCAGTTGTACGAAAAAAGCTCTGTGGCATTTTCAAATAGATAGAAAAAATTTATTCGTACACTGATTAGGGTCAACCAAAGGCAAGTCATTAGTTGAAAGAGTCTTCTTCCATATCAAGACTATTCAGCCACATTGCATGCCCACATTCTCACATTAGTGAAGCGTTGTTTCCCATTCTCCTGGAGAATGTGTCAGATCGTCAGTGGATCACAATCAAACTCGTCAGCCAACATCCGACAATTCATCGATGGATCTTCTTCAGTTTGATTGACGAGTGCTTGGTGATCGATATTCTTTATGTTTCACTTATAGACAACCTAACAGTTCGATACTGTTGTCAGAAGATGAAATTTATTTCGCATCTATTCCCTCTTTCTAGTTCGGTTTCATTCAGGTCCTGCGGCGATCTGCCCGTCTCATGAAAAAGAGGCTGGCGAAGGTGGAAGAACTACAGACGAAAGAATGATCGCCGTTCATCAGCAGTTCTTAGCCTGATAACTGCTATTTTCTTCTTAGCCATGCTTAATTTCATTGCATATCGTTGAATGTTTAGTGTTCTATTTTAGATAATCAGCCTAATCACACACAATAGCCCATTATCTCAGTGAGCTGTGGGGATTACAGTAACTATTCCACGAATGCTTCCTATCTCCATGTTGTCGTGAGCTTCTAGATCAACTATCGTTCCTCAGCTAAACTTACTCAGGCCTTCGGTTCAAGCTCTCATATAGTCTCTCAAGAACTTCGTACTTTATTTCATTGCCTTCTCATAAACTTTCCTTTGATGCGTTAACATCGATTTCACATGCAAGACATTTTAGTCCATCACAGCGAACTGTGCACTTGTAGTTTCGTATGCTCTGAACTTTCTTACCCTTCGTTCGTACGCCTGTAACCCTTTGTGTTCCCCCTAGTATTGCACCTTATCAGGAGCCTTCGCGTTGTTCCGTGCATAAGCTTGACCACACTCTACACTGTTGGTAGTTTGGTAGCCTGGTAGTTCCGTAGTCCAGAGTTTCAGTGTTTCAGTTATTCATCCATCGTTCGCACCTATTCACTCACTAAATATCGTTAGACTGCTATTGCATTGTTATTATTGCTATAAACAGTTAAAACCCAAGCGTGAGTTGTCTTCCGTGCTTACGTGAAAAGACCCGAGTTTCAAACCTGTACAAAATCGATTTCTATTTCGAGTTAGTAATTAGTGTGTGCTAAAGACTAACCGGAATCTCAACACTCTACTGCCTCAACTAATACAAATTGCTTGGGAAATTACAGAACGCTTAGGCTTAGACTTAGAAAATTGATGAGACCACAATTCTTCACTGGCGTCGATGACGGAAAAAACTAAGGTGGTCTGTGAGATGCTCAGAGCATTTTCGAAGCTGCTACGTTAGAGCCATACGTCGTTTCGGCGGTGTCGCCTGCTTCATCAGTAGGCCACGCGCTACACTGAACCCTACATCTTAATAGAGATGGAAACGTTACTTGTTCATGTCTCCGAATTTCTCTCATAAAGTATGGTTTAGTGTAGCGCGTGGGCTACCGATGAAGCAGGCAACACCGCCGAAACGCACGTATGGCTCTGACTTAGCAACTTCGAAATGCTCTAACAGACTATATTGAATGTTTAAAGCGAATTTAAACGATAGAGTGTTTCAAAAAAAATCTGTTTACTGTATGAAAAAAAGAACTTGTTTGTCACGCTTTTGTGCTGGGGTTACGAAAGTATTTGATCGAGTCGATTACGAAATTCACTCAATCAACCATGGTTGTCCTATTAATATTGTACTGTGTTATTGTATGTATTTTGTCATAAACTAAATAAATACTACTAAAGAAAAGCCTCGCTTCAGGTGATCACAATGAGCCGCTGAACTACACAACAATGCCGACGTCAATAGATGTACGGAACTGGAGATTATTCAACATATTGACCTTCCGACATATCTTACTATGAATACTTGGAAAATTTCGACTCTAAAAATATCATAGAAGCGTAATACTGGATAAATAGAAAAAAATTGTGTATTCAACCCTTTTCTGGCTAATATAGCAGTTGTAAAGAGCGCATGTGGCGCAGTGCTTAGAGATGCTCTGCGTCGCACACGAGATCAATGGTTCGATCTCGCGCTCATGGCTCACCAAGCCATCCATCCCTCTGGGGTCGGTAAATTGGTGCCAGACAGGTCTCTGACTTTTCTGGGAGGATAAGCAGCACTGACTCGGTTCAGCGGGAGGCCACCGCGAGTCACTGTAAATCAAACGAAGTTAAAAATCGAAGTCGAATGCATGGCGCATCCCGTCAGGGATTGATGAACGCCGAGAGCTTTATCCTTTTATTTTATAGCTGCTGTTCCGCCAAACAAGTGCTATTTCCTTTACGTCGCACCTATTACATACTATAGATAATACAACAAACACTATGTAGAGGATGAAAAATAAGATAAATTTATCGAGTAAGTAGAACATTTTATCCTGTGGATACTGCCTCAAGTGATCGGAAGGCGACGTAATTAGCGTGTTTATCGGCCCGAGATCGAGATGTAGCCAGGACATTGCCGATGGCGGACACCTGTCGACGACATGGTAGCTTAGCGGTCAAGGAAGATGGCGATGGCGTAGAATCACGTTCACAATGGCACTCGATTCCTCTTTACAATGTCACTGCTTGCTCGTTTTCTTTATCTCCTCTCACTCATCTGTCGATAATATTAAGTAGGTGTCAAGACATCAGCTAAGAATTCGCCCTTCCTAATTTATCTCGAATCAACCACTCATTTTTCGACGTCGCCACTCACTTGTCTTTGGCATCAACTTTATCGTTCTCTCGTATAATCAAGTTCCCATCGTTAATGCTCTTGATGGTTGTTGTACATATGTGTGTATATATTTTTGATATATTGTTGTTATTATGTTCGTTATGAGGATAAATTCTATCCCAAAAATCCGCGTGGCAGGACATATCAAGACGAGTCAAAGAGCAAAACTCTATCGCAAAGTATACAAGCAACGACTCAACTATCACTAAAACTAAAATAGCTAAACTAATACCACTAGGCTGATAAACAAGATCTATTCGGCTGTTACTGGAACGGCAAGAAATTTTCCGGATCTTTTTCATTTTCGTTGATTATTTATCATGCATTTGAGTTTTTGGCCCTATTATCGTTTAAATCAGTCTCTTGTGGTTCTTTTGATATATAACACTTATGCATTTGCTTCAAGATGGAATAGTCCCGAGAGCAAAAACGACTGTTGATGCTACGCGAGGATCGTTTGAGTTGAAGAGATACTAAGACTACTTGCTCGATTAGCAAGCCCTGGGGTGACGAAGAGTAAGAGAACATTATTTCTTGATCTTTTTCAATGAGTTCACGGCTGGAAATGGAGATCTGATGCGCAAGGAGCCGGTTGTCCATAGGAAAGTCTAAGCGGCACTTGAACCCGTACGGATACTCGTGTAGCATCAACAATCGTTTTTGCTCTCGCGACGATTATTTCTTCAAACAAATGTATAGATATTATATCCGCAATGAGCGTGCTATAAAGACAAGTACAACTAAGAACTCGAATGCATAAAAGATAGTCGACAAAACGAAAAAGGTCCGAGAAATTTCTTGTCAACCTCATATTTATCGACGCAGTGATATTAGCGCTGTGTGAATGTCTAGAATATCCGCCTTTAAACAGATCTTAGAAACGTATCGTTGGATAAATAGAGAAAATTGTGTTATAGAATTCTCTTACAACTAGGCTACTACAACAAGGTCGATAAATATGGGGTTGGCAAGAAATTTTCCGGACTTTTTCGTTTTTCTTGGTTATTTTCCATGCATTTGAGATTTTGTTTGGCAGTCGTTTAGAACAGCTCCTTGTGATTATTTTGATATGTAACGCTTATACATTTTTTTTAAGATGAAATTGTCCCAAGATCAAAAATGGTCGTTGATACCACGCGAGTATCGTTTCGTTTCAAGTGCTGCTGAGATTTTCTTGCTGACAACCGGCTTCTTGCTTTTGCGTCAGATCTCCATTTTCAGCTTCGAAATCATAGAAACGATGAAAAACTGCAGTTCACCCAAATATTCCGTCACCAGAGTTCTCGCTAATCCGGCGGAAAGTCTCAGAAGCACTTGGAACACGAAACGATCCTCGCGTCAACACCAACAATCGTTTTTGCTCTTGGAAAACAGTTCCATCTTTAGAACAAATGTATAAGTGTAATATATCAAAATAACCACAAGAAACTGCTCTAAACGATAGTGAGAACGAGAACTTGAATAGATAAGGGATAATTGACGAAAGAGCGGATCCGGAATGATCCTTGCCAATCCAATTAGATCTTATACGGCTACTACGTGTAGACGTCTTCTTCCCTTCTCAGAGCCAAAGAATCAGGCCGATTGTCTCCCACATTCGTTCGTCCTCGCTGACATCACTGCCGAAATTTGTTTTTGTTTTGTTTAGTTTCCGTTTCTATTTAGGAGTTTTTTTGCTGTTTGTTGTTGTTAGTGAAAGGTCATGTTGTTGTTTGTGTGCATGCATATCTTCTTTTTTATATCATCGAACAGAATTCTTTTCCATGATTTCTAATGATTTTGCTGCATTTTTTTCTACAGTGGTATAACGTTTCCAATATGCCTAAGAGAATTGAGTGCTAAGCAAAAATTCGACCGCAGGCAGGAGTCGAACCCACGGCTGACCCCTATCGGGGCACGTTCTACCACTACATCATCAGACCTGCTGTAGGTTTGGTGGCTGGTAGTTGGCTATATGAGAGAAACTGAAGAATGAATGGCGGTGAAATGATGCCTCGGTGGTGTAGTGGTATCACGTGCCTCCCGTTATGGGTGAAACGCGGGTTCACCTCTCGCCTGAGATCAAATTTTCGCCCACCTCTCAATTTTTTTCTTAGGATTCTTTTTATTTAACCGCTTCTTTACTGGCGGTATAATGTTATAGAAATACCCAATGGTGTTGAGAGACGGACAAAACTCTAGCGTTAGGCGGGACTCGAACACGCAATTCATCCTCCTCAGGGGCACATGTTTTGACCAATTGGACTACCGATGCCTGTTTTGTCACCACTTTTTCTACGCTACAATGCATCAGTCTGTCAGCAATCAACCGTTAACGGTTTCTAGCGTTGAAAGAGTGTTGGTAAAACAGATGTCTGTGGTGCAATTGATTAAGCGCGTCCCAGAGAAAGGGTCAAATGCGGGTTCGAGTCCCGGCTGACGCAAAAGCTTTGCACATCACTCAACATCATCGGGTATGTCTGTCGCCTTTTTTATCGTTCGCTGATAGCCTTCTATTCGTAATTTGTCATGGGTGAGTTTGAGACTTTTCACAATTTTACCGTGGATTTTTTCCGTCTGGATTGGTGTTCGGGGTTGTTTTTTCTCGATTTTCTCAATATTAGCCACTACGAAATCACTTTTCGATTGTAGTAATTGTTGTGAAACCAACTCTACTTCAACTTCGGCTTTACAAACCACCCACATACTGGTATTTGTCCGAAGAAGAAGGAGAGAGAAGAGGGTCCTATTCGAACTTCAACGAGGACGAAATCGGCTCGGATCAGTCGGCTCTGAAGAGGACGGAACTCGTCAAAACAGCGGCCGAAGAGCTAACAGGGTTATTTTCATGAACCTAAGGTCACCGAATGATAAGTATCAGTTGTGTTCTTCGTCGGCTTTTCTTTGTAGTTCGCATGGTTCAGTGACAAGTTGACGCTATCGAAGTGGCCGGAGTCGCTATCGGAGTGGCCGAAGTCGTTATCTTCTCTTGCCACGTACCATCCATCACTTAATCAATAGAATCACACCATACATCCCGTCGCCAGTGCCCCCTTCGTCCGACTCATTCGTACTGGTTTTTTTCCCGTTTCTCCAGTATTTTTGAAACTCGAGATTTATGACGTCATTAGTGGATCGGCTTCACTTCCGCTATGTTGTCTGGCCCACAGGCGAACGTTAAACATCACATTACACACTCAGGTGAGAGGTGGTGGTAAGGCCTTTGCATTTCAGTGAGATATCGATGGATCATCCGCTCGTTCATCGCCTGCTGGACGTGAAGTTCGAGACGAGACGCTTCCTCTCACTCGTCACTCATGGTGGCCAGGATTTTCCGGAAGAAGAAGGTCGCCGATTCATCGCTGATCATTTCGACATCAGCATACAGGTACGCCATCTCTCTCTCCTCTCTCCGCCTTTTTATTCCTCTCCTTTTCCCTGAAAATTTAGCGATCTCATCATACATTCCTACTTTGATAGCTGGCCGTTGTGGGGCACTCGTGATCTCATCAATTGTCAAAATATAATTTTTGAATTGACTTTTGAATAGGAAATTGCGAGAGACTTAGGCCTGGGCTTAGACAAAATTGATGGGACCACAATCCTACAGAGGCGTCTAAGAGTTTGTTCTATCGAAATTTCTATTACCGTAAACAGATAGAATTTCAATGCATGTTTCTCGACGACGGTGAATTAGCATTTTTTGATATCAGAATGTCGGAAAAGGATTTTCGAAGAATTACTCACGGAAAGAACCGTGGAAATGCTAAAAGCTCTTCGATTTGAGGGCCTCTGGCCGAGTGACTAGTAATGCTGGCGCGGCTCGGCGTGGGACTGAACCCTCGACCACCCGAAGCACTCTGCGACAATCAGCAACGGTCGCTCTCATGGGATGAACGCCCAGCCTGGCTATCCTCGAGGTTGCAAGGAGACGCGTCCGACCAGTATTCTGCGGCGTTCGTGGAGATGAAAAATGAAAGTGCCGAGTGTGAATGGCAGTGCCGTGGACGAGCTCCTGCCCCACACTCTGGAATAACTACACGTCATGACGAAGCAGGTACTCGTTGCAGACAGTCGACTAACAGAATATGAAGTGCTGGTCTCGTACAGTCAAATGTCAAATGGAATAAAAAAGTTATGAAGACTTGTAACAAGGTATAAGCTCCTCTATTTGAATGAAATTTTTTGTGTGATCTCCGAAACCGACATTTTTTAAAACCTCGAAATTGTTCAGTACTTTGTAGTTTTTTTCTTTAAATGCCAAAATATCCTATTTATTGTAACATTTTCCCAAATCATTTCATTTCATTCTATTAAGACAACATTATATTTTCGCTTATTGGAAAACTGTATTTTTGCTATTAAGAAAACACTGTTCTTGTTTGAAGTAAGCCTTCAAAGCTTAAGCAAAGTTAAGTCATGCGAGGACCGTGGACCCACGGCCTTTGCGTCTCTAACCTTCAACGGTTGGTCTAACATGGCGTCTAATGGCACTTGTCATTGTTAGACGCCATACGCGGAGGTCAGAGACGCAGAGGCCGTGGGTCCACGGTCCAGTGAGGGTTAATGTATAAACATTTGCCGTTTCTAGGCTTCGTTACTATACCTTGTAGTGGTGTTTGGAACGAAGTTCTTCATGCGAAATCGCCAACCATTCTCGTTGTTTGTGCCACTGAACATATGGAACTTCATTCTTGCTGTCTTCTCGATTTTGGGCATGATAAAAATGTCACCTGAATTTTGGACGACACTCAAAGAAAAAGGATTCCAGAGTTAGTCTTTTTTTTTCTAAATTCATTGCTTCCATTTTCGCTCTCTTTAGTCGAAATATTGCAGAGAACTTTACAAATGTTTTGATTTTTTCACCTGTAGGGTTAAAGTTTATAAGAGACTCAACTTTGTTAGATGGTCCATCAGTTATCATTGAACCCGCCAGTCCCACGTCCTTGTTATCTAATCGTTGCAGAGAGAAATGAGAGGAATCATCTATCAACTTCAAATACAAGTTGATGTACAGGTGACAGGATCTCGATAACAGATCGACTGCCATGCTAGAACCATAGAGACATCCTAAAGGAATGTTCGGTTGGAAGAAAGTGCAAATAAAAGTGTAATCTAATAATTGTTTTCAGCCTTTCGAGGAGACTGTCATGGGCACTTATAAAGAGTCACACACGTGTTTCGGCCTTCCAGCCTCATCACTAGCACGGTGCCTTTCGTTCAGTCAGTTCCTCGGTGAAATATCCCTTATAACGGAGGAATCGACGACGAACTTTTTACACTCGTCAGAGGGGATATGTTCCTGAGGAACTGGCTGAACGAAAAGGCTGCGTGCTACTGATGAAGCTGGAAGGCCAAAACACGTGTCTTGCACTTTAGAAGCGCCGTAAAAGACCGCTTGAAAGGCTCATGTTATCGGATTATATTGTTTTCGAGCGACGTCTCCGAATAGTTGATTGAAAGGTGTTTTTACTAGTATATCTACTTTGATTGCCTTTATTATTACGACTTAAGCCGTACCGATCAATTCAATGTTCCATTCGAATCATCAATGTATACTACAAAAATTGTAATTATCCCTCTATCTATCCAACCCTTTAGATATCCCTCTTAGTCATATCGTACTTTTTAGGCAATTAAATACATATACACATCGTAAAAATGTAAAAAGTAAGAAAACAAAATTTATGACAGCCGCACAACGGGAATCTACAAAACATAATTGTATACCCACGAGTTTCAGTGGTATGCAAACCATCTGGCCCAAGCGGGTAATTGAACCCGCATCTCACCGATGACGAGCGCGTGTGGTACCACTAACACTACCGAGGTCACCACTTTTCTAGCACTCTTTCTTCGTTTTACTCTATCGTACTTGTCAGGATCAAACATCATTGGATCTAGTCTGATATGCTCCCGCCTTGGGCCAAATGTTTTGCCTACCACTCGGAACTCTTTGATGGTTAATCTGGAACTCATTTAAGAGAATAAAAAATGTGTATGCACCCAAAAGCTGATATCTAGGATCAATTACAACCTTGAATTTGAGCGTTTCAGATTCATACTGTTTCACATATGATTTTGCGAAAGGTGAAAATGGCTATTGGGTCTTCTATTCATAGTATCCAAGCTTTTCGAACTGATCGACACTGTGTTTATCGTTTTACGAAAACGACCGCTTATGTTCCTTCACTGGTAAGCAAATTTTGATGAGTGGGTTCTCATTCTAACATAGTCTCTATGCATATTCAATAATGTAGTGATATGCATGACCTTCAACGTTGGAGGGGATTCGAACCCGCATTTTGCCCTTTACGGAAGTGCATGCTAACTAGTGCACTACCGGCGCTTTCGTTCTGCGATCACTCTTTCTGCGACACAGTTGTGTCAATCTGTCAAGAAGCAATCGTCAGCGGTTTGGTCTGAGAAGCCGATATGGGCGTTGAACCCAGTCACGCTGGGATATAACACATATTGATATAACATATAAGATACTGGATATAATATATACATATGTATATAGATTATATACATGTGTACAAATATATATATATATGCACATGTATATATCATACTACATGACATATGTATATATATGTATGTAACATATATACATCATGCATACGAGAATTTTCATTCAACTGCTGTTAGCCGCTAACCGCGATCGTACCACCGCTAATAGCTGTCAAATAAGAGGAATGCTCTATGCTTAATTATTAGGAAGTCTTTTAACGCTGTTTTTGACCTTTGGGAGCTTTCAGTTTGCATTGAAACCTAGCGATCATCGGGATGTCAAAAACATGCCCATTCCTAATGATGATGAGCGATGCGCAAAAGTTCGACGTCTGGCAGGACTCGAACTCGCATCCTCACCGTTTCTCGGAGGCACTGCTCAACAAATTGCACTACCGACGAATATTTTACCGCCATCAAAAAGATTATATGCGTTTCTATCGTTGAAGGAGTGCTAGAAAACAAGGCGTCGGTAGTGCAATTAGCTAAGCAGTACCCCTGTAAACGATGAAATGCGGGCTCGAGTCGTATCTGACGTCAAGATTTTGTAGCATCACTTAACATCATCGGGT